TGCTGGGTGGAAGCTATGAATGAATCCTACTGGGTGGAAGCTATGAATTGATCTCACTGTGTGGAAGCTATGAATGAATCTTACTGGGTGGAAGCTATGAATGAATCCCACTGCGTGGAAGCTATGAATGAATCCTACTGGGTGGAATCTATGAATGAATCCTACTGGGTGGAAGCTATGAATTAATCTTACTGGGTGGAAGCTATGAATTCATCCTACTGGGTGGAAGCTATTAATTAAATACTACTGGGTGGAAGCTATGAATTAAATTCTACTGCGTGGAAGCTATGAATTAATCCTACTGTGTGGAAGGTATGAATTAATCCTACTGGGTGGAAGCTATGAATGAATCTTACTGGGTGGAAGTTATGAATTAATTCTACTTGGTGGCAGCTATTAATTAAATCCTACTGGGTGGAAGCTACGAATTAAATCCTACTGGGTGGAAGCTATGAATGAATCCTACTTGGTGGAAGCTATGAATTAATCCTACCTGGTGGAAGCTATGAATGAATCCTACTGGATTGAAGCTATGAATTAATCCTACTGAGTGGAAGCTATGAATGAATCCTACTGGGTGGAAGCTATGAATGAATCCCACTGCGTGGAAGCTATGAATTAATGTTACTGGGTGGAAGCTATGAATTCATCCTACTGGGTGGAAGCTATGAATGAATCCTACTGCGTGGAAGCTATTAATGAATCTTACTGGGTGGAAGCTATGAATGAATCCGACTGCGTGGAAGCTGTGATTGAATCTTACTGGGTGGAAGCTATGAATTAATCCTAGTTGGTGGAAGCTATGAATTAAATCCTACTGGTTTGAAGCTATGAATTAATTCTAGTTGGTGGAAGCTATGAATGAATATTCCTGGGTGGAAGCTATGAATTCATCCTACTGGGTGGAAGCTATACATTAAATCCTACTGGGTGGAAGCTACTAATTAAATCCTACTGGGTGGAAGCTATGAATTAATCCTACTTGGTGGAAGCTATGAATTAATCCTACTTGGTGGAAGCTATGAATGAATCCTACTGGGTTGAAGCTATGAATTAATTCTAGTTGGTGGAAGCTATGAATGAATATTCCTGGGTGGAAGCTATGAATTCATCCTACTGGGTGGAAGCTATACATTAAATCCTACTGGGTGGAAGCTACTAATTAAATCCTACTGGGTGGAAGCTATGAATTAATCCTACTTGGTGGAAGCTATGAATTAATCCTACTTGGTGGAAGCTATGAATGAATCCTACTGGGTTGAAGCTATGAATTAATCCTACGTGGTGGAAGCTATGAATTAATCTTGGTGGGTGGAAGCTATGAATTAATCCTACTGGGTGGAAGCTATGAATGAAAACCACTGGGTGGAAGCTATTAATTAATCCTACTGGGTGGAAGCTATGAATGAATCCCACTGCGTGGAAGCTATGAATGAATCCTACTGGGTGGAAGCTATACATGAATCCTACTGTGTGGAAGCTATGAATGAATCCTACTGGGTGTAAGCTATGAACGAATCCTACTGGGTGAAGCTATGAATGAATCCTACTGGGTGGAAGCTATGAATGAAACTGAGTGGAAGCTAATAATGAATCCTGCTGGGTGGAGGCTATGAATGAATCCTGCTAGGTGGAGGCTATGAATGAATCTTACTGGGTGGACGCTATGAATGAAACTGAGTGGAAGCTATGAATGAATCCTGCTGGGTGAAAGCTATGAATGAATCCGACTGGTTGGAAGCTATGAACGAATCCTACTGGGTGAAGGTATGAATGAATCCTACTGGGTGGAAGCTATGAATGAATCTTACTGGGTGGAAGCTATGAATGAAACTGAGTGGAAGCTATGAATGAATCCTACTGGGTGAAGCTATGAATGAATCCTACTGGGTGGAAGCTATGAATGAATCTTACTGGGTGGAAGCTATTAATGAATCCTACTGGGTGGAAGCTATGAATGAAACTGAGTGGAAGCTATGAATGAATCCTGCTGGGTGGAGGCTATGAATGAATCCTGCTGGGTGGAGGCTATGAATGAATCCTGCTGGGTGGCGGCTATGAATATATCTTATTGGGTGGACGCTATGAATAAAACTGAGTGGAAGCTATGAATGAATCCTGCTGGGTGGAGGCTATGAATTAATCCTGCTCGGTGGAGGCTATGAATCAATCCTGCTGGGTTGAGGGTATGAATGAATCCTGCTGGGTGGAGGCTATGAATGAATCTTACTGGGTGGACGCTATGAATGAAACTGAGTGGAGGCTATGAATGAATCCTGCTGGGTGGAGGCTATGAATGAATCCTGCTGGGTGGAGGCTATGAATGAATCCTGCTGGGTGGAGGCTATGAATGAATCTTACTGGGTGGACGCTATGAATGAAACTCAGTGGAAGCTATGAATGAATCCTGCTGGGTGGAGGCTATGAATGAATCTCACTGGGTGGACGCTATGAATGAAACTGAGTGGAAGCTATGAATGAATCCTGCTGGGTGGAGGCTATGAATACATCTTACTGGGTGGATGCTATGAATGAAACTAAGTGGAAGCTATGAATGAATCCTGCTGGGTGGAGGCTTTGAATGAATCTTACTGGGTGGAAGCTATGAATGAAACTGTGTGGAAGCTATGAATGAATCCTGCTGGGTGGAGACTATGAAAGAAACTGATTGGACGCTATGATTGGATACTGATGGGTTAAGGCTATGAATGAATCTTACTGGGTGGACGCTATGAATGAATCTGAGTGGAAGCTATGAATGAATCCTGCTGTGTGGAGGCTATGAATGAATCTCACTGGGTGGACGCTATGAATGAAACTGAGTGGAAGCTATTAATGAATCCTGCTGGGTGGAGGCTATGAATACATCTTACTGGGCGGACGCTATGAATGAAACTAAGTGGAAGCTATGAATGAATCCTGCTGGGTGGAGGCTTTGAATGAATCTTACTGGGTGGAAGCTATGAATGAAACTGTGTGGAAGCTATGAATGAATCCTGCTGTTTGGAGACTATGAAAGAAACTGAGTGGACGCTATGATTGAATACTGATGGGTTAAGGCTATGAATGAATCTTACTGGGTGGACGCTATGAATGAATCTGAGTGGAAACTATGAATGAATCCTGCTGGGTGGAGGCTATGAAATAAACTGAGTGGAAGCTTTGAATGAATACTGCTGGGTGGAGGCTATGAATGAATCTTACTGGGTCGACGCTATGAATGAAACTGAGTGGAAGCTATGAATGAATCCTGCTGGGTGGAGGCTATGAAATAAACTGAGTGGAAGCTATGAATGAATACTGCTGGGTGGAGGCTATGAATGAATCTTACTGGGTCGACGCTATGAATGAAACTGAGTGGAAGCTATGAATGAATCCTGCTGGGTGGAGGCTATGAATGAAATCTTACTGGGTGGACGCTATGAATGAAACTGAGTGGAAGTTATGAATGAATCCTGCTGGGTGGAGGCTATGAATGAATCTTACTGGGTGGACGCTATGAATGAAACTGAGTGGAAGCTATGCATGAATCTTACTGGGTGGATGCTATGAATGCAACTGAGTGGAAGCTATGAATGAATACTGCTGGGTGGAGGCTATGAATGAATCTTACTGGGTCGACGCTATGAATGAAACTGAGTGGAAGCTATGAATGAATCCTGCTGGGTGGAGGCTATGAATGAATCTTACTGGGTGGACGCCATGAATGAAACTGAGTGGAAGCTATGAATGAATCCTGCTGGGTGGAAGCTATGAATGAAACTGAGTGGAAGCTATGAATGAAACTGAGTGGAAGGTATGAATGAAACTGGTGGATGCTATGAATGAAACTGAGTGGAAGCTATGAATGAAACTGGGTGGACGCTATGAATTAAACTGAGTGGAAGCTATGAATGAATCCTGCTGGGTGGAGGCTATGAATGAATCCTGCTGGGTGGAGTCTATGAATGAATCCTGCTGGGTGGAGGCTATGAATGAAACTGAGTGGAAGCTATGAATTAATCCTGCTGGGTGGACGCTATGAATGAAACTGAGTGAAAGCTATGAATGAATCCTGCTGGATGGAGGCTATGAATGAAACTGAGTGGAAGCTATGAATTTATCCTGCTGGGTGGACGCTATGAATGAAACTGAGTGAAAGCTATGAATGAATCCTGCTGGATGGAGGCTATGAATTAATCCTGTGCGGGACGCTCGCAGATCTGTCCATTGCCCCACGTATTAAACGATTGGCCCGCCAAAGCAAATATCACAGAACTACTTCTGAGACTCTTTATTCAAGTTATCTCTGGTAGAGGGTGAGTGAAGGATGGGTGGTGGTGGGTGGGTGAGTGAAGGGTGGGTGGTGGATGGGTGCAGAGAGCGTGGAGCCTAGTGGGTGGAGCGTGGTGGATGGTGATTGGTGGTTGGTGGTCGAGGGTGGAGGGTGGTGATGGATGGGTGGGTGCAGAGTGGTTGCTGGTGGGTGGGTGGAGGGAGGGAGGGTGATGGGTGGTGGGTGGTAGAGGGTGGTGGTGGGTGGTAGAGGGTAGTGGGTGGGTGGGTGGGTGCAGAGTGGCTGGTCGTGGTGGGTGGGTGCAGAGTGGCTGGTCGTGGTGGGTGGGTGCAGAGTGGCTGGTCGTGGTGGGTGGGTGCAGAGTGGCTGCTGGTGGGTGGGTGGGTGGGTGCAGAGTGGCTGTTCGTGGTGGGTGGGTGGGTGCAGAGTGGCTGGTCGTGGTGTGGGTGGGTGCGGAGTGGCTGGTCGTGGTGTGGGTGGCTGTTCGTGGTGTGGGTGGGTGGGTGGGTGCAGAGTGGCTGGTCGTGGTGTGGGTGGGTGCGGAGTGGCTGGTCGTGGTGTGGGTGGCTGTTCGTGGTGTGGGTGGGTGGGTGGGTGCAGAGTGGCTGCTGGTGGGTGGGTGGGTGCAGAGTGGCTGTTCGTGGTGGGTGGGTGCAGAGTGGCTGCTGGTGGGTGACTGGTCGTGGTGGGTGGGTGCAGAGTGGCTGCTGGTGGGTGACTGGACGCCGAGCTGCTGCTGCTGCTGCTGCTGCTGTTGCGTGGTGCCACCTTGCAGGTGGCGCTTGGCACGGAGGAATCCGACGCAGAGGCGCAGCACGGACAGCTTGTCCAGCTTGCACGACAGCGAGCGCGGCAGGGGCAGCGCGGCCGCCAGCCGCTCCAGCTCGGCGTTCAGTCGCTGGCGGTGGCGCTTCGAGGCGCTGCCGTTGCTCGAATCGTCGGGCGGCGAAGGGACCGGCCTGGTGGGGGTGCGGTGGGGGTGGTGAGTGAGTGGATTGCTGGGTGGGTGAATTACTGGGTGAGTGGATTGCTGGGTGGGTGAATTACTGGGTGAGTGAATTACTGAGTGAGTGAATTGCTGTGTGGGTGAATTGCTGGGTGAGTGAATTACTGGGTGGGCGAATTACTGAGTGAGTGAATTGCTGAGTGAGTGAATTGCTGGGTGAGTGAATTGCTGGGTGAGTGAATTACTGAGTGAGTGAATGACTTACTGAGTGAATTACTGAGTGAGTGAATTACTGAGTGAGTGAATTACTGGGTGAATGGTTTACTGAGTGAATGACTGACTTACTGAGTGAATGACTGCCTTACTGAGTGAATGGCTGACTTACTGAGTGAGTGAATTACTGGGTGAATGGCTTACTGAGTGAATGGCTTAGTGAATGACTGACTTACTGAGTGAGTGAATTACTGAGTGAGTGAATTACTGAGTGAATGGCTTACTGAGTGAATGGCTTACTGAGTGAATAGCTTAGTGAATGGCTGGCTTACTGAGTGAATGACTTACTGAATGAATGACTTACTGAGTGAATGATTGACTTACTGAGTGAATGAATTACTGAGTGAATGGCTTACTGAGTGAATGACTTACTGAGTGAATGACTTAGTGAATGACTGCCTTGCTGAGTGAATGAATTACTGAGTGAATGGCTTAGTTAATGACTGGCTTACTGAGTGAATGACTTACTGAGTGAATGACTGACTTACTGAGTGAATGACTGACTTACTGAGTGACTTATTGAGTGAATGACTGACTGAGTAAATCACTTACTGAGTGACTGACTTACTGAGTGAATGATTAGTGAATGACTGACTTACTGAATGAATGACTTACTGAGTGAATGACTTACTGAATGAATGACGTACTGAGTGAATGACTGAGTGAGTGAATGAACGACTGAGTGTGGTGAATGCATGTCTGAGCGAATGAGTAAATTAGTAAACGACTCAGTGAACGAATGGCTGAGTGATTGAATGATTGAGTGAATGAGTAACTGAGTGAGTGAACGAATGATTGAGTGAACGCAAGACTGAGTGAATGAATTCTTGATTGAATGGGTGACAGAGTGACGGAACGACTGAGTGAACGAATGACTGAGTGACTGAGTGAACGAATGACGGCGTCAACGAGTGGAATGAACGAGGCGACTGAATGAATACCGCTTGGAACTTGGCCTCCTCCTCTTCCGCACTGCATATGTCCCGGTTCCAAGCATGGCCTCGCCACCTGGGCCACAACGCAGCCACGGGTTGTGGTTCACGCAGAGACACAGCTGCTATAGGCTGCTCACGCGTGGAGCAAACGACGCCGTTGTACTGCACTGCACAGGACCCATATTGCACCCCGGCTGGGGCCGTGAACCCGCAGTGGGCCCAGCGTGGTGAAGTATGGTCGAAGCATCTGATGCGAGTCACTTCCGGCCGCCCCCCCCCCCCCCCCCCCACAATTCATGGGACTCACTCGTCTTCATTGCTCGAGGCTTGAACGAGTTAAGATCAAGACGATGAGAAATAACCCACCCCACACACACACACAGACACACACGCAAACACACACACACACACACTCCTCCTCCTACTCCCCCACAACGAGACCCGCAATGGCGTGCACGTGAGGCCCTCGTCCAGCAGTAGATAGATCATGACTGATGATGATGATGATGGTGGGTGGGTGGGTGGTGGTGATGATGCTGTGTGTTGGTTATGGTCCATTTCCACGTTGTTCCATTATTACAAAAAAAATTACGCTCATAATAATAATCATCATCATTATCATCATCCTGGGTCACGGACTCAATCCACTGCTCTACGAATGTCGTTCCCTCCAAAGTCCAAGTGCCTTGAACGAGTTGCAACAGCATCCAGAGATGTCGGCACGGCACCACGCCCGGCCGCCTTTGTCTGCAGAGTGCGGATTTTTTTTTAACACGTTCAAGGCTGAGTCGACCTAGAGGAGTCCCGGTTGAATTGTTTTGTTGTTTAATCCGTCACTGTAATTGGTCGCGAGAGGGGACGCGAACTCGGGTCGACGGCTTCGAAGCGCTAACAACTACAACGATCACTCCCCGATTATAATTAAACACGCACGAATGTTGAAAACGGACGCCTCCACTTACGAACATTCAGAGGTACGAACAAACCCGTCCCGTATGTCCAGTTGCAGCTGTTCGAACCGAGAGACGTAAAGTTCAATTGCCATGCAATAGATGGTGGTGGTGGCATCTACATCTGCAGAACGTGAAGAACCAGTGGCATCTACATCTGCAGAACGTGAAGAACCAGTGGCATCTACATCTGCAGAACATGAAGAACCAGTGGCATCTACATCTACAGAACGTGAAGAACCAGTGCCATCTACATCTGCAGAACGTGAAGAACCAGTGGCATCTACATCAGCAGAACATGAAGAACCAGTGGCATCTACATCTACAGGATATTTAAAACTTTTAAGCCATCCCCCGTGTTTAAGTGTGCACGCCGTACAACACGTTTGGAATCGACGGGAGTAAAGTTGGGGCATGCGAACAAATCGACTTAAGAAGAGGCCTCTGGAACCTGCCTCGTTCGTACGTAAAGGAGTCCATGCACACCTTATTGAACTGTATGCCCATATATCTATGTATGTATATGCGTGATGATATCTGTCGAAGACAGGCGTAAGTTCTTGTGGATCTGTTTCTTTGACGGCTGTGTCAGATATATATATATATATATTTTCTTTTTTCGAAAGGTGAATCGGCGATTGAAAAGGGGCTCAAACTTCCAAGATGCGAATGAGAGTGACATTTGAGTTGAGTTCGCAAAAGGGAACGTAACAACAATCTGATGAAGGTTTCACAAAAAGAAGGCAGGGAGAGGAGAAGTCGTGGGATCGCACCCAGAGGCACGAGGTAGAGAGGAAGACGCCCCCCGTTACAGACATTGTAGCGACCTGCTCCATACGATAAGTAAGTCCACGTGTTCGTCAATAGCACTGTGTGTGTGTGGATGACCTTAAAATCAAAAGTTATTTTGGGCAATGGCCCTTGTTCATAAACCCTTCTTCATTAGGGCATGAAGAAGGGACATTGCCTCAAACGTCGCCCGCTATACACTGCTGATCATGGGTTATCCGGCTGCTTCTAGCGATAGGCACCGTGTAGCGTGACAATAAAAGCAGCTTCCCTTGGGTTCAGTGTTAAATATTATGTACACTGCATTATACACTACATACATATTATATACACTACATTATACACTACATACATATTATATACACTACATGATACACTACATACATATTATATACACTACATTATACACTACATTATACACTACATAAACATACACTACATAATTATTATATACATTACATTACACACTACATATATATTATATACACTACATTATACACTACATAAATATTATATACACTACATATATATTATTTACACTACATTATACACTACATACATATTATATATACTACATACATATTATACACTACATAAATATTACATACACTACATATATATTGTATACACTACATTATACACTACATAAATATTATATACTCTACATTATTCACTACATATATTATATACACTACACTATACACTACATATATTATATACACTACACTATACACTACATAATTATTATATACACTACATTATACACCAAATAAATATTATATACACTACATTATACACATATTCTTTGGTTCTTTCGGTAAAGTCACGTAGAATGAGAATAAAATAATAAATTGATAAAATAAAATAACACAATAATATTCTCACGACGTTTCGGCCACAACACAAGCGGCCTTCATCAGGTGAAGGGACGAGACTGTCTGGAGGACATCAAATAAATATTATATACACTACATTATACACCAAATAAAGATTATATACACTACATCAATATTATATACACTACATTATACACCAAATAAATATTATATACACTACATTATACACTACATAAATATTATATACACTACATTATACACCGAATAAATATTATATACACTACATTATACACTACATATATATTATATACACTACATTATACACTACACACATATTATATACACTACATTATACATTACATAAATATTATATACACTACATTATACACTACATAAATATTATATACACTACATTATACACTACATATATATTATATACACTACATTATACACTACATATATATTATATACACTACATTATACACTACACACATATTATATACACTACATTATACATTACATAAATATTATATACACTACATTATACACTACATAAATATTATATACACTACATAAATATTATATACACTACATTATACACCAAATAAATATTATATACACTACATTATACACTACATATATATTATATATACTACATTATACACTACATTATACACTACATAAATATTATATACACTACATTATACACCAAATAAATATTATATACACTACATTATACACTACACTATACACTACATAAATATTATATACACTACATTATACACCAAATAAATATTATATACACTACAAATAATATATTCACTACATTATACACTCCATAAATATTATATATACTGCATTATACACCACATAAATGTTCTAAACACTATATTATTCTCTACGTAAATAGTATATACACTACATAAACATTATATACACTACATACAACTTACTACTTACAAACCAGTTTGGGTCACGGATTTACTCACTCACCTGGGTCACGGACTCACTCACCTGGTCACTCACTCACCTGGTCACTCATTCATTCACCTAGGTCACAGACTCATTCACCTGGTCACTTACTCATTCACCTGGGTCACAGACTCACTCACCTGGTCACTCACTCACATGGTCACTCACTCACCTAGTCACTCATTCACCTGGGTCACAGACTCACTCACCTGGTCACTCACTCATTCACCTGGGTCACGGACTCACTCACCTGGATCACTCACTCACCTAGTCACTCACTCATTCACCTGAGTCACGGACTCACTCACCTGGTCACTTACTCACCTGGTCAGTCACTCACCTAGTCACTCATTCACCTGGGTCACAGACTCACTCACCTAGTCACTCACTCATTCACCTGGGTCACGGACTCACTCACCTGGATCACTCACTCACCTGGTCACTCATTCACTCACCTGATTGCTCACTCACCTAGTCGCTCACTCATTCACCTGGTCACTCACTTATTCACCTGGGTCACAGACTCACTCACCTGGTCACTTACTCACCTAGTCACTCATTCACCTGGGTCACGGACTCACTCACCTGGTCACTCACCTAGTCACTCATTCACCTGGGTCACAGACTCACTCACCTGGTCACTCACTCACCTGGACACTCACTCACACGGACCCACCTCCCACGAGCTTCTTCTCGCTTGACCCAGCCCACGCGATCTTCAGGACGGAGTTGACCCTCGGAGGAACGACACGGAATGAACTAATGAATGAGTTGCGAAGTGAGTGAATGCGTGAGTGAGTGAATGAGTGAGTGGGTGAATGAGTGGGTGGGTGAATGAGTGAGTGGGCGAATGAGTGAGTGGGTGGGTGAATGAGTGAGTGAATAAGTTAGTGAGTGAATGAGTGGGTGAATGGGTGAATGAGTGAGTGGGTGAATGAGTGAGTGGGTGAATGAGTGAGTTGGTGAATGAGTGGGTGAATGAGTGAGTGGGTTAATGGGTGAGTGGGTGAATGAGTGAGTGGGTGGGTGAATGCGTGAGTGAGTGAATGAGTGGGTGGGTGAATGAGTGGGTGAATGAGTGGATGAATGAGTGAGTGAGTGGGTGAATGAGTGAGTGGGTGAATTAGTGTGTGAATGAGTGAGTGGGTGAATGAGTGAGTGAGTGGGTGAATGCTTCTGTTCAGTCTGTCTGCTCAGTTCCAGCGCCGCAAATCAACTGAACAACTTTGGCGAAATCTCGCCGCGCAACCCCGCAGGAAACAACCCTACGATTCCCCACGCCTCTTACACCACGAATACACCACGCCTCTTACACCACAAACACACCACGCCTCTTACACCACGAACACACCACGCCTCTTACACCACGAACACACCACGCCTCTTACACCACGACTCTTACACCACGCCTCTTACACCACGAACACACCACGCCTCTTACACCACGAACACACCACGCCTCTTACACCACGAACACACCACGCCTCTTACACCACGAATACACCACGAACACACCACGCCTCTTACACCACGCCTCTTACACCACGAACACACCACGCCTCTTACACCACGAACACACCACGCCTCTTACACCACGAACACACCACGCCTCTTACACCACGAATACACCACGCCTCTTACACCACGAAAACACCACGCCTCTTACACCACGAACACACCACGCCACTTACACCACGAATACACCACGCCTCTTACACCACGAATACACCACGCCTCTTACACCACGAACACACCACGCCTCTTACACCA